CCCGAGGGGCCGGTGGACGCGGCGGACAAAGCGGAGGGCGCCGCCTACCCCCCCGTGGGGGAGATCCTGACGAAGGTGACGGAGGTGAGCGACGTGCTGAAGAGCAAGGCGGACCTGCTGCACGAGGTGAGGGGCATGGTCCTGGACCACGACGGGCAGATCAAGCACCTGCTGGAGTCGGCCCGGCCCTCGCCCCTCACCTCCCTCCACCTGCTGGAGGAGTACGTGGACACGCGGCTGAGCGGCCTGCGCGGGGAGCTGCTCGACGGCTTCGAGAAGAAGCTGGGCAAGATCCAGAGCACCTGCGATTTTCGGATCCAGGAGGTGAGGCAGCAGTGCGAGGAGGAGAAAGCTGCCAACCTGCGGCTGCAGCAGACGCTGGACGGCAAAGAGTTGGAGATCAAGAAAGAGATCTCCCAGCTGGAGACCCAGATCCAAGGGCTGACGGTGGTGGAAAGCTGCTGCGGCAACCTGGACTACCTCACCGAGCGCATGAACGTCCTGGAGAAGGGGCTCCACAGCATCTCGGAGGCCCAGAAGAACTTGCACTCGCGGCTGGACGGAGAGATCTCCACTGCCACCCTGGAGAACCTTTTAGAAGGGCGCTTGGAGGACCTGGAAGCCAGACTCAACGCTACAGAAACGGGGAGCTGCTGCTCGGGTATAGAGGACAGCATGAGAGGCACGGTGGTGGCCGAGGTGGATGGCGTGAGGACTGCCTTTGAAGATAAAATGCAGACCCTGGAGGACAGGTTCATGACCATGGTGGGGGAGCTGAACAACGTGAGCTCTCCGGTGGGCATGGACGGAGCGGTGGTGCCCGTGCTGGAGGGGGAGCTGGCGAGCATGAGGAAGAGGACGGATGAAACCCTGGAGGTGCTGCAGAATCGCCTCGTCACGCTGGAGAGCACTTGTTCCTTGGGCTGCACCTCTGCCTCCAGAGACGTGGAGACCTTCCGGACGGAGATCGAAGACTGCCAGAACAAGAACCAGGACCTGCTGCTGAGGATGGACAGCAACTACGACCTGCTGCGCAAGCTGAACGCCACCATCCTGGAGATCCAGCGGCGAATCGAGGAGGAGGCCTCGGGGGCTTTGCAAGGGGAGATCACCTTGCTGAAGATCAACCTGAACACCGTGAGCAAGTCTCTGACGGGGCTCAAAGACTCTGTCTCCCAGTACTCGGACAGCGTGACGCACGTCAACTCCTCCCTGGACGAGCACGAGCGGAAGATTGAGGATGAAGTCCACTCCATCCAGGAGAAAGTCAACGACCAAGGCTCCCAGCTCTTCTTCAGCAACCGCCGCGTCCTGAACCTCAAGGGAGACTTGGAACGACTCAAAGCCAGGATCATCAACGACCTGAGCTCCTGCAAGAGCGTGGCCAGGGACCTGCAGCAGGAGGTGGCTCACTTCGACGAGCGGGTGGCGCGGGTGGAGAGCGTCTGCAGCAGGCTGGGGACCGTCACCGGCAGCCTGGACGGCATCAGGGAGGAACTGGAGAAACACACGGGCAGCCTGTGGGACTCCATGGAGCACATGAACGGCACCCTGGCTGCCCACTCTCAGGAAATAACGGGACTGAAGGACAACCTGCTGGACTGCCAGGCCAAGGTCTCGGAGCTGGCGGAGCAGGTCGGTCACTTGGAGGAGCAGCAGCAGTAGCCGTGCTCCCCGGAGGGACCCCATTAACTTATATCACCCAGACTCGTGCCAATGTGACAACACTTCTTGGGATACTTTTTTTTATATGAGAAGTTAAATTAAAAGCTGCTACAAACTCTTCTTTTTTTTATTTTTAAATCTTTTGGAGCCCACTTTTTCCATCGCCCTCCTCGCCTCCTGATGCTCAGCAGCTCTCCCAGGTCTTGGCCAGGGGGCGTTGCTTTGGCTCCTGGGCTGATGACCCCAGAAGGACAATTCAGGAGGAAGCTGGAGGTGGAATCCTTTTTTTGTTGTTGTTGTTGTTTTATTTTTGTGGATTTATCACTTTTTGAAGAATACACCCCTGCAGTTATCAGTTGAGGAGTGGAGTTTCTCTCACCTAAAGACCACCTGCCTCTTAATCCAGAGAGGGAGCAGAGCCAGGGCTCCTTCCAGGGAACAAAACTCACCCCAGGAATTGGGGATCTCGCAGAACATCCGTGTTCACACATCTCCTGGGCTGTGCCTTCCCCTGGGGAGCAGGCAGCCCTCCTCCTGCACCATAAATCCATTTACACAGCTCACTCCCCCTGCAAACACCCCCCCTCCCCTCACAGAGCCTCTGAGGCTGTGCAGCAGGAACAGACACATGCATATAGATGGTATGTGGATGTGGATTTTTGAACAATCCACTGTCATGGTGCTCATCTGCTGGCAGTTTTCTCTGCTGGGCCTCCTGTCCCTTGCCTTGACCCCCACTGAGCAGCTAAAAAGGCCACAGCAGCATTTGGGGGAGATGCTTGTGGGGCTGCTGTGCTCTCTGCTGACACCTGGCACTGACAGAAAGGGCTGTGGAAAACTTCCCCCAAGAGATGTGTGTCTGTAGGTCTCTGCAGAGACCAAGCTGGGTGCAGAGCTGTCCTGTCCTCCAGCTCCAGTCCTCTCCTGTTTTATTGCTTACACTGTGAACGTGGTTTCCCTCATCTCGTCCCAGGGAAGGAGAGCTGCAGCTGCTCCAGGATGGGAGCACGAGGCTTGGAACAAGAGCCTGGGGTGTCCTCCTGTTCCTCTGAACCTGCTGAGATGCCAGCAGCCCTGGGGAACCTGCATGGACATGGAGGGAGGCAGGGCACCTTTGGGAAGACCTAAGGCTGGGAGGGCAAAAGCTACCTACCCAACTTAACTCTGGTTTCCTCCAAACACATAAGCTGGAGAAGGTTTTGTGTGTTCCTCAGCAGCTCCAGCCTTGCCCTGCAGAGCCCAGCATGGATGTCCTCCACTCCTCAGCCAACAGGGACTTTGCTACCAGAAAGGATGGAGTGGAAATGAAAGAGCCTGTCTGACCAGCTCTGGCCCTTTACAGCAGGGGAACATTTTCCTGTCAGCTCAGTGTTGGGGCTCATGGACCTTTCCACACCAGCTAGCCTGCAGCTCCCCCCACCCTCCCTAGGTCATCCCTGGTCTTCTGCTCCACCCTTCCCCTCTCCTCTGCCCCTCAGAGGAGTGGCTCTGGGCTCTGACCAGCACAAAGCAGCAGCAAGTTCCAGCAGAGGTGTATCCAGGTGCCTTTTCTCCTCCATAAAAACTGGAGGAGCTCTCCAAAACATGCTTCCAGGCTGGGGAAGACCAGAGGGATCACCGACCCTGGCTGGCTGCATCATGTTACCCTGATGTAGTACAAGCTTTTTCCCCTGCTAGAGGAGCTGTAGGAGCAGGGAGAGGGGACCAGGCTTCCCACCCCTCACTCACCCCCCTCCAGATGCTCACAGCACCAGAAACCACTCTTACTTGATTTGGAGCTATGCTGCAGCCTCTGGGCACTTCTCCAGCTGAGGAGCCACCTTCAGCTGCCTTTGGGCATCCTATAAAACTTGCCCTGAGACAACAAAACTCATTTTATTCCCATCCCCTGGCCCGTGGAAGGAGTTTCAAGCCAGCCCTCACCCCACAGGAGCATCCTGCCCAGACTCCCCCCTCCCCATCCTCTCACCCAAGGGAGGATAAAGGGCTGCAGCAACCAAAGAGAGAAGCCAGCCAAGGGCCAGGCTCACCCTTCCCAGGGCTGGCTGAGAGAGCAGCTCAACAGCAACAGCTTCCCCCAGCACAGAGGGAGCAGGACTGGCCAAAACATGAGGACAAGGAAGAAGTCTGACCTTCCAGAACATGGTGCTATGTTTGGACTATTCCTGACTAGTCACTTGAAGCTACAGAACGTTTGTGTTTCAGTTCTCAGCTATTCCTGTTTAAAAAGTGAAAAGAACTTGGTACAAAATAGGGCATTTCTAATTTTTTTGTTTTCTTTTTGCTTGCAGAGAGGGAAGAAGGTGGTGCCCGGGTAGCTGTCCTTGCACAGGCAGCTTTTGGGGCAGTTGCTAAGTGATCCTGTTAAAAGGCTGTGGGTTATTGTTTTGAAAACTTTGTACATTTGTTCAGATTTTAAAAGCATAAAAAAAAAAGTTTGTACCAGAAAAGAAAAGCAATAAAGTTATTTCTTGCTGAGGTTTCCAGGATCAAAATGACTCGTGTGGCTTTCAGCAAAGCAGAGCTGGAGTTAAAGCATGGAGACAGGCAGACTAGGGGATGACTGACACAAACAGGGGCCAGGGAAGGAGAATCAGGGATTCATTTAGGTTGGAAAGGACCTTTAAGATCAATTCTAGCCATTATCCCAGCACTGCCAAGTCCCTCAGCATCACATCTCCATGGCTGTTCAGTCCCTCCAGGGCTGGAGGCCAGACAGGAGACACCCACCCCTGCCACGAGCTCTTGCTTCCTGTAATAAATCAGTTCTGCAACGTTACCTGAAGGCAGCAGCAAGAGCAACAAAGTCCTTTTCTAGTGGAGCTGCTCCACAGGCTGAGGAAGCTGAAGGTCCTGTCCCCACCTCCACCATGACCAGACCCCCCCTGACAGGGCACTTCAGCCCAACAAACCCAACCATGGTTGTCCAAGGCCATGGAGCCTGGTTCCCACTTCCACAGCAAAGAGGCAGCTGGATTAAGGCATTAGTTTTTTAATTATTGCTGTTAGTGAAGAATGCTCAAAAACCCAACAACATTCACCCACCTTAACAACTTGTTAAACCACAGGACAGCTTCACCCCCTCAGCTACCAGACTGCAGGAAGCTGGACTGTCACTGGCCATGCTGGAGGGAGCAACAACTATGCCAGAGGCTCATCAGTAAATAAGATGGTGACCCACCATCACCTTTAAACACAAGCCAGGCTTTAAAGGTGTTATGAACATTAAGAGAAGACCCAGCTGACAAGAATTTCCATTCAGTAAACACTTTGTAGAGCTCCCTCCTATCCCCCTTTGGCCCCTGAGAAGGGGTGTTTCTAGTGCAGAAGGTGACCCGTATGAGAAATGCCTGAGCAGCCAACAGGGAGGAGGAGATGCCTCCAGACCTGGCAGAACACACACAGGAGAGCCCTGGGCCAGGTCTCCACAGGTAAGGGGATCAGGAGAAGGCATCCAGGTCAAGAGCAGGCAGTGGAGGTCTCCAGTAGGTGAAGTGGCTGTACTCTGGACAGGCCATAGCACTGCTCCCACTCTGTCCCAGGGGAGGGAAGATGAGCTCCACCACCTCCAACAGCCCCTCGTACCTGCGGGGGTCAGAAAGAATTCACACGGAGGTCACTTGGGGGGCTTTGGCTGCTCCTCCACCCCACGAGAGGCTTCTCTGGGTGACAGGCAGCTTAACCCCAAGGCACCCAGGAACAAGCACGCTGCTTACGTGGACTTGTGGCTCTTGGTGAGCTCCTGGATCAGCTCTCCCTTGGGGTTGATGGTGAATATGCGGCTCTCCAGCAGGCCCACCTGCCTGTAGGCGTAGACATCCTGCCCACAGAAGGGGAGCAAGCTGGGAGAGCTGCAGGAAGGCACCACCACCCCTCCCCTCCAGTCCAGGAGACCCACTCACGTTGGCCCTGTTCCCAAAGGCTGCGTAGAAGGGCAGCTCTGTGGCAAACAGGTTTTTGATGTCCATCAAGCAGGCGATCTTGAAGACCTCTGGCTTCTTCTCGATCACCTCCCTGAAGCACAAGGTGCAGGCACAGAGCAGAGGTCAGAGTGGCATCCGTGGGCCAGGCTATGGTCTAGTGGTTAGGGAAATGCTGGGAGGAAGGCTGGAGTGATGATCTCAGAGGTCCTTTCCAACCACAGGGATTCTATGACCCTATGACTGTGGGCAGCCAAGCTGGCCAGGGTTCAAAGAAGCCATCTGAAGGCTAGGAGAGGTTTTGTGCATCAGGAGCCTCACCATGAAGCTGCAGGGAGAGCAGGCAGTTCCCTGCTGCCTCCCATGAAAGGCACCTGCACACCAGAAGCAGTTTAAGGCTGTGAGATCCCTCAGCATGGAGCTGGGAAAGGAGAGTGGCATCCCCAGGGACACAGGAGGTGCAGGGCTGGGCAGGAGGAGGGGGATGTGCTACCTGTGGAAGGCAGAGAAGAGGCTGCTGGGGGAGAGCAGGATGGGACCCTTGGGGAGGACACAGCCTTGCTCGTTGACCCATTTGAGGTAGCCCTTGGTGATGTGTGCCATGCCAATGGCTCTGGCTGAGCAGTAGAGGAACTTGTAGCCATTCCTAGGGAGAGCACAGGGAAGCCCTCTGAGCTGGTGTCTTCCCACTCCTGCTCCAGGGAGGAGGAGGAGGAGGCTGAAGGACAAGGCTGAATACCTGGCTTAAGCCCAAAACCTGTGCCCCAGTGCTGGGGAGCAGCACTAGAGGGGACCCCACACCACCCTCCAGGTGCTCCCCAGCAGCCAGGCACCCATCCTGCCCAGCAGGCACCCAGGTGGGGGCTCAGACCAGCACCTCTCTCCCCCGGGGCTGGTGCAGGACTGGACTCGGTCCCTGCAGACCCAGGGTGGCCAGCCAGGAGCTGGGCAGGGGCACAGGGTGAGGATGGCAGGAGGAACCCAGTGCCACCGAGGGCAGCCCCAGCCCCGAACCACCCCCCGGGGTCGGGAGGAGCCATCTGCAGGCTCACAGTGCCTCTTAGTGGCCACGGGTGCCAGGGACGTGGAGCTGGAAGCCACGCTCAGGAGGGACCCACTGCCTGCTCTGCTGGCTTTGGGGACAGTCCTGGAAGGGAGAACTGGGCACTCAGCACCCAAATGCTGGTGGAACCCTCTTGCCACTGCTGCACCGAGACCCAAAGGTGGTGAGCTGTGCCTGGGGCTCCTCAGGTGGGATCTTCCATGTTCTCATCTCCTTCAGGGCTCAAATAGATGTTCCCAGCAAAGCCTCCACCAACACGTGGTCCTCCCAGGGAGGGTCACACAAGCCTCTGCTCCTGGAGCAGTGGGGACACCTCTACTTTCACCCCCAGCACCACCCAGATAGCACAGGGAGCATCAACCACCACCAATGGCAGAGAATGGGGCTATTTTGGCCAGCATCAGCAAGGAGTCCTGGCTCTGGCTCCCATCATCCTCCTGCTTCCCCTCAGCCTCAGCTGATCTAATACCTACAGGTGGATTTTGTGGAAGAGCTTAACAATGCCATGATGAGTCCAATCCTTCCCCAGATGCGGCAAGATGTGCCCAAGGGCATCCGACCTGGAAGGGAAGGAGCCCAGGTTAGGCTGATCCAGCCTGGCTGCTATCCACCCCCACCAGGGTGGGGTTTGTGGTCCCTCCTGGCTGCTCAGGCAAGCCTTGGAAGGACCTCATCCCCTAGCAGTGGGGAGCAGGGCTGTGGGGTGGGAGGAGGGCCCTTTACTTGGTGATGGTGCCGTCGATGTCCGAGATGACCACCTTGTCATCCCAGTTCCACAGGTAGATGGTGGCCTCACAGCGACATGTCCCCTGGTACTGAGTGGTCACGCTGAACACCACCTCGTTGGGACCATCCTGCAGGTTCAGCCTTCCCTGGGGGCAGAGGGGCATCAACAGTGGCACACGAGCACCAACCCAATCCAGCCCCGGGCTCGCCAGGCGGCCACCCAGCCAGAGCAGAGACCCCAGGCCTCTCACAGGGTGGCCACCCAGGGCAAAACACTTGGATGCTCTTTAAAGCCATGAGGTCGGGGGTAGGGAAGTCCCTGCTGAAGGGTTGTCCCCCCCCAGGGGGCAGGGAGGGACCCCAGCACCTACGATTTGGTTGGAGGAGAGCCGCAGGGATTTCCTGTAGCTTGGTGGAGATCTCTGGGCAGGGACATCCCTTGCCAACGTGTCCCCAGGGGGCAGGGGCTCATCCTCACTGGATGACCCCTCTTCCTCCTGCCTGCAGAAAGAAGGTAGGAGAACGTTGGCTTCACTCTGCAGATCATGGCTTTCCCCATGAGCACCAGGGGAGGTCTAGAGAGGATCCAGGACAACCCCCCCCAGCCAGGGAGCAGCCACAGAGGAGCTTGGCTGGACCAGGGGCAGCTTTCTGCCCTCATGCATTAGGTAGGTTTGGGAATAACTGGTCATTTTGGAGGAGAAGGGATCAGGAACATGCACAGGCTCCCAAAGGCAACCTGGGAGGGAAGCACTCACCTCTGCTGGGCAGGGTCAGGCTCCAGAGTCCCCTCGTTGGCTTTCCCTGGCCTCGACTGCTGCAGGCAGAGAGGGGTGTCAGCAGCACCTCAGTGCCAAGGGCAGGAGCTGCCTGGCTGTGCTGCCCCTCAGGACACTGATACCAGGAAAGAGGGGGCAACACATCCCCCTCCCTTCCTAAATACCCTGCCCCATGGAAGAACCACCACAGCCTGGTGCTGTGGTGGGGCAGGGTGACCAGCCAGCACCCGTGGTGCCTGGGCTGGGGCATCAGGAGCACATGGCAAGAGGTCTCATCACTACAAGGTTACAGCATCACCAGGTGTTGTTCTGCTGGTCAGGCATTAACAGACTCAAGAGGACAGCAACAACCTTCAGAAGTCACCTTGCCAACAGGTCCCTCTGGCTGCCCTGGTCTTCAGCCTCAGCCCAGGACCTGCTGCTCTTCTAGCCCCTCTCTGGCAGCCACCAGCATGACACCAGTCCCCTGGGGACAGGGCTGTCACCACACACCTCCTCTGCTGGGAATTCTCTCCTGCTCCAGGAGAACCACCATCTGCTGCCTTTCTTGGGCATCTTCTCCTTCACCAGTTGGTCGATGGTGCTCTGTGAACATAGAGCATGGGATGAAGTCAGCCCTCATGCCAGGGGAGCTCAGCTGCCCTGGCCAGGCAGGGCTTCCTTTGCCAGGTTATTCACAGGATAAATGTGTGAGCTGAGACACTTCTGGGGTGAAGGCTACAGGGTCTCACTCCCTTTGTGCAGCTTGAAAAAGCCAAAAGATCTGGACACCTTACTCCAACCAACCCCAGCCAGGTCTACAGAGTCCTGGAACATCCCACATCCCCCAGACTAGCAGGCCCCTGGCTCTGGCCAGCCTTGCCCAGATGCAACCACCAGAACAGGAGGGCTTTGACAAGGAAATCTCCACTCCCCAGGCAGCTGTGGTACACAGGTATCCAAAAACCACCCTGAGGTCCCTCTGGGGGAAGGACAGACTCGGTGTTTGTGGGCTGGAGCAATGCTCAGCTCTGCTCCAAACTGCTTGCAAAGCCCCAGCTGGGCAGCTTGGCCTCTTGCAGCCCCACTGCACCCTTCAAGCCCTGCTGGGAATCATGACCAGTAAATGTGTTGAGCCACTGACCTCAGGAATGTTCCTCTGGAAAGCCTGCAGGGACAGGACCATGGGAGCAGCCACTGCCCAGTTGTAATACCTGGAAGAAGCAAGAGAGGAAGGGAACATCACTCCTGGAGCAAGGGCTCTTTCTGGACCAGCACCCTGCAGCATGGTTCCCCTCCCACAGCTGCCAGGGGATCACTGTCCAGGATGGGGTCACACCCCTGCAGGGACAAAGGGGCCACACTGCTCATCTGGAGATGAAGCAGCAGGAAGAGCAGGTCACTCACTTCTTGTCAACCAGCACCACCAGGTTGGGGTCCTCGATGAGCCCTGGGTTCTCAGCAAGCTGCTGGTAGGACACCACGTGCTCCATGAACTTCTCTGGTGGGACAGAGGCTGTGTCATGAAACAGAGCATGTTTGAGGGCAGCAGATCCCACTCCCCTCCTCCCACCTACCGTGGGAGATCTGCTTGCTGCCCCCCAGGCCTCCACACAGCGACAGGGCAACCGTGGGCAGCGAGCTGGGCACCCCCCTGGGGCTGCTGGTGGGCAGGTGGGATGGCAGCTGGGCACACAGGGGGTTGCTGGGGTCTGCCACGGGCTTTGAACTCTGCTCTGGGTCACTGCCACAAGAGAAGACACAGTGGCAATGTCAGGCAGTAGCTGTAGGCACCTCTCCATCCTCTGCTCCAGGGGAATCTCAGGAAGGTCTGAGCTCAGGCAGCTGCAGCAAGCCATACCTCCTGGGGAAATAGAGAGCCATCTGCTCCTCATCCAGGCTGGAGAGGTCCTCCAGGTAAATGTCACTAGGACCCAAGTGAGGGCTTCTTTTGGTGGGTCCTTCATGCACAAACAGAAGGGAGAGAGCTTAGCTGGATCACCTTTCCAACCATCTCAGCCCCTGAAGAAAGCCAACAGCCTTCTCCTCTGTCCTATGGAGAGGGCATCTCCTTCCAGGCCTGAAAAGCTGCCTTAGATCAACAACCCCATGAAGCACCTCAAGACACCTGCAGTGGCACAAAACCACTTGTCAGGAGGACACAAGGGCCAGGTCACAGTCCTGTCAATGCTCTGCTGTGGCTGTTTGATGTTGGCATGGCATAAACAGTTTGTGATCTCCCTCTCTGCACAGTGAGAAACCCCAACACCTTCAGGGAGACAAGTTTGTGCTGAATTTCTGCTGGCTGGAAGAGGGAGGTTGGTTAGGACAGGTAATGACACACAGCTCCTTAAATACACTGTCACACACTTCATGTCATGCTGGGACAGTGTCCACCTGACCTGGCATGCTCAGGATGACAACACAAGCCAGGCCAGGTGCTGCCAGACATTTCCATTGAAGTTATGGTCTACACTGCTGAGAAACCTTCAAAGCATGCAAAAGTGGAGACCTCCAAGGATGGACTTGAGGAAATGTAAATGCTGGAAAGACTTCCTGAGGAGCTGGGTGGTCACTGAAAGGAGGAAACCTGAGGAAAGTCTCTTCAAAGCAAAGGAGGTGGTAGCACTGGGAGAGGGCAAAGCCAACCTGTCACCCCTGGAGTACCCAAGGCAGCCATGAAGGAGCTGCACTGAATGAACCACCCAGCCCCTCTCCAAGTCAGACACATCTGCAGGCTCAGACACCTCCAGCAGCACCAGTCACCCACTCACCTTCTCTCCTCTGGCCCTCCTGCCTCGGAGCAGCAGCTCCCCCAAAGGGCTCCACACCTGGCTGAAGCTCTGGCACAACACTCCCACCTCCCTCCTGCTTCTCCTGGGGGGCTGAGGAGGCCTCCAACGAGCTCTCTGCCCCCACAGCACTGGGGATGTCCTTCAGCCCAGGGAGACCGTCCTCATCCTGGGGTGCAGGTGTTGGCTCCAAACCAGACACAGCAGAGGAACAAGGTGTGCCCTGAGGTCCTGCTGGGTTTGGAACTCCTCCAGAGGTGGCCACAAGATCAGCTGCCTCAGCCTCTGGGACCAGTGTTGCAGAGACAGAGGTGGCTGCAGTGACAATGCTCTTTGGGGACTTGGCTGGTTCAACTCGTTCTGATTTGTTCACCTGAAGGAAAAGCAGAACAAGCTTCAGGATGAGAAGCTGCCCAAAGCATCAGGCAGAAGAGGACAACTCCTCTGCTGCCTGGCCACAGCACCCTCCACTTTCTGCAGGCCTTTTAGATCCCCCCCTCCCACCCCAGCAGCTAGAGAAGAGCAAGAGCTGGGACTCACCCGTGGGAGCCTTCCCCAGGTCCACTGCACGTGGGATTCAGCCCCTAGAGCAAAACTCTCCTGTGCTCTGATCTCCAGCTCAGAGTCACTTTTGGGAGAAGATGGATGGCTCAGGGTGGGGCTACAAGAAGAGAAGGCAATATGGGACCTCATCTACTCTACAGCCCCGTGCTTTCCTGTCACTGCAAGGACATTTAGGCCCAAAAACCCTGCCAGGTTTCCACAGAGTCAGTTCTGCCCCATAAATCTATCACTCACAAACCAGCAGAACCCTGGGGAAGCTGAGGCCCAAGAAAGCCAAGTGCTGTGCCACCAGTTGTCCAGCAGCAGCTCTGCAGCAGAGGCAGGAGAGCCCTGTCCACACAGGCTTCTTCCCTCTGTGAGCATGGCCAGAAGCCCTCAGCCTTGGAGCTTTCCTCCAGCCACACCACATCAGGCCAGGAAAGCCATCCCCTGCTGACACCCCCAAATTCCTTCTCCCTACCACCTTCCCAGCCACTCTCTCTCACCAAAGCTGAGAAGATGACCTTGGCTCTGCCCATTACCTGTCCACAGAGGCCAGCTCCCCATCAGAGTAAGGGTGTATCTCTGGGGACTGCAACGAGCTGGTTTCTTCTTCATGGGGATCAGGGAAGGAGGAGTACACTGAATCCCTGCAGAGTGGGGGGAAGAGGTTGGTTGTGCTACTTTTGGGCAACAGCCTCCTCACCTGGGAAGCTGCCAACACCCAGCTTCACCTTTTCCATTGGCTGTCTGCTCCACAGCAGCCTGGGGTCCAACCCAAAACTCCATCCTCATCTCTCAGTCCTGCTGGGCTCCACCAGGCGACCCTACAGGCTTGGCCCAGCACATCACCCTGCCCAGCCCCAGCAGCTCACCTGGGGGCTGGCAGCTTGCACACCTCCTCCAGGGACACCTCACTCGGGGTCTCCTTGCTGCCACCCAGCTCAGGGGCTGACACCTCCTTGCCCTTGGGCTTCCTCCTGCGCCGCCGCCTCTTGCGCAGGGTGGCTTCAGAGCTGGGGCTCTCCTGCCCACGGGAGGGTGGAGCAGCATCCTCTGGGCTGTGCTCCGTGGGCATGGGGGACATGCAGAGCTGGGGGGGGATGCTGCCCTGCAAGAGGGATGGGAAAAGCCCATCAGCTCCAGCACCTTCCTTCCCAGCCTGGTCTCTCTTCTACACCACCGGCACAACCGACGCCACCCAGCCCTCAGCTGGGGGTGGTTTTGTGCCTGGGCTCAGGATGTTTTGTTCATATGGATGAAAAAGAGGAACAGGGCTATCCAGCCACGAGCTGCATATCTGTAGATAAAGACAGCTTTAGTGTGGGCAAGGAGAGGCAGGCAGGAGATGGCACCATGAGACCAGAATTACAAAGGCTGCAGCTAGGACTCGGCTCTAGAGCCTGGTCCCTGCAGCTCAAATCCAGCCCAAGCTAGCAGTGACCAGAAGGCAGCCTGGGAGCGAGCTGCCAGGATTTCTGGAAGCCACAACTGGTCTCATCCCACTTCCCTTTAGAGTGGGCAGCCTGCCACAGCATCTGGTTGACTTGCATCCCTATCACAAAAGCCCTGGAGGCCAAGCTCTGAGTATCTGCCTGGCTGGCCAGCAGCCATACCCATTGACAGAGGCCAGTCTGGGGTGCAGATATTGGGTCTAATGCTCCCTCAGGGTGCTCCAGTGTTCAGATCCTCCACACTGCTTGCACAGTTCTTCACATAGGAACCTTTCTGATCACACAAAGCATCAGAGGAGTCACCCTTGGGAAGAAGAGCAGCCCAAACCTGGTCCTTCCTCCTCCAGCCTGCACTGCCAGGTGGTCACAGGGGGACAGAGACCAGCAGCACCTCTTCATCACCAACCTCATTCTCCTCTGACTCCTGGATGAAGAAAGCCTCTCCATTGTCACCCAGCTTCATGTGCAGGTCCACAGGCTCCCCATTGATTTCAATGTCAACCTGGCAGGGGCAGAAGCAGCCTGTTCACCTGAACCCATCTGCATGCAGGAAGACACTTCCCCAGGGAAGGAATGGGTTGGGGTTGCTCAAAGGGCTAGCAGCCACCCAGCCTTTGAGGAAAGAGACCTCTCCCCATTTTCCTGAGCAGCACAGTCCTCTTTGGAAGAGTTTTATTCAGGGGCAACCCTTGAAAAAAATAAGCAAGCCCTTCATTCAGCAGGGGGGCCACTCCCCTCAAACCAAGCTCTTCCACAACCCACCTCTTTGCTGTCTCCAGACCTGGGATTCACCCACAGGTTATGGCAGAGCCTAGGTCTGGAGACAGCAGAGAAGAAGCATCCCCCCAGGGCAGGCACCCACTCACCACCTTCTCCCTGGAGTGCAGCACGCCCAGCTTCCCGAAGCGCACGTGGAAGGGGGAGCACTGGAAGGAGCTGTCAGGCTGCCTCACCACCACCACGTCGATGCAGCCCGTCAGGGTGGCTGGGTTCAGCCCCCTGTACAGCTCCTTCATCGTGCCCAGCACTGTCTCAGCCAGCTGCCCCACGTAGTTCATGGTTTGAGACTGCAAAGGAGAGACAGGCTCAGCTCAGGTAGGGGCAGAAGGCTCCAGAAGGTAAAAGCAATTTGAGTTTACACCAGGAGGGTCATTGCACAGCTGGACAGAGCCCCACCAAGGTGAGACCCTAGGGAAACTGAGGCAAACACATGAAAGGTCTCAGTGAAGACCAACCAGGGTCTCTGTGAGCTCCAGAACACAGGACAGAAGTCAGAGCACCAGTTGTTGCATCCAGCTTGGAGGAGAGAGACCTTGGCCATGGGGATGTGCCATCACATTTGTCCCTTGGGAGGTCAAAAACTTCAGTGCAACACTTTGCAATCGGGCTGTCAACATCCCATTCAAATGAGAATTTAGTTGGCAGGAGACCTCCTGCCCTGAAGAAAAACAAACCAACAAAACCCCAGACTCGAGGCAGAGAGGTGGGAAGTCCGAGGACCTGCTCCATATGCCACATGCTCACTTGAAACAGAGCCCAAACCTAACATTCCCCACTTGTGGAAGACACCCCACCTAGGCAGTGCCAAAATCAGCCAGACATGACCTTTGGTAAAGCCACAACTCCCTGGTCTCAAAGCCTTGGCCCTGCTGCCATCATCCAT